AAGGCGGTGTGGAAAGGAACTGGCCACCCTACCACAATATGTCAAAGGCTCAGGAAGTTTTTTCAATAACAAGGCAATCCCCAATGTCCGGATCGGATGCAGGAACAACTTTACTTTTAGTACAAGTTTTAAGAAGAGCTGTGGGAAAGGACAGGACAAAAGGATATGGAAGTAAAAATAGAACTAAGAAAGTGGCGATGGATGGGACACACCTTCGGAAAGCCCAGTGGAAACATCACAAGACTGTCGCTGCAGTGGAACCCAAAGAGAGTTCGAGGCAGGGGTAGGCCTCAGGGAAACATGGAGGAGATGTGTGGAAAGAGACATGAGAGAGATGAAGCTCACTTGGAACGAGCTGGGAAGGATGGCCCAGGACAGAGATAAATGGAAGGAGGTTGTATGTGGCCTATACCCTGCCAGGGGTGAAAGGCATTGATGATGACAAGTTGTATGGCACTTGCAACACAATTAGATTGTATAACTTCCGGAGATGAGGTGTTACAAGGGAGTAACAAACCTTAGAACTACAAAGCTCTGTCTGCTCTATCAAAATTGTAAGATAATTCGAAGTCATTGTCAAGAAATTCAAAGAATTGCTTACAAAAAAGCTAGACATGTTGTAAAAATTAAAATTTTTAGACGCCAAATTTCTCAAAACTAGGTACTGAGCAGATAGAACTTTGCAATTCTAGGGTAGCGTGGTGGGGGGGAATGTGTGTGTCTGGAACATTAAATCTTTGTCTCCGGCAAGCTGCTCCAAGCGCCTCGCGGTCGGAACCCCCTGTTCCGGTGAGCTGCCGGCAGCGGCTCGCGCACCTTCCTTTACGACGACTTCAACATCAAATTACTTTTTGGCAGTTGCCGAAAACAGGTCTCTTTTAGCGGGGGTTCATTCATTAAATGAAGAACTATGATGTAATGACACATTTATTGATGTATTTATCATTTTTAGATTCAGTACCAAAAAAGGGCCCCGACATACTGGGTTTACCCCCCTCGGAGAAAAAGAGCTTACAAGAATGTTTCATAATTTTTTTTTCTCCTCGCAGGATCCGCTGTGTGAATGGGTGTTTAGTAACGGACATTGCACCCGACGGCTGAGGAACCCCAACAAAGCGGTCATTGACAGCGACAAGTGCAGGCCGCCATGTCATCAGTGAGTCTCTTTGCTCGTTTTTTTGTTCATGGGGGACTTGTCTGGAATATTGATGGTGCTGGTAGAAAATTGAGTTTTGTTGTTTTTATCTGTTGTTGCTAGAATGTTGATGGTGCTGGGAGAAAATTGAGGGAATTTTATCTAAGGAATATTGATGCTACCAGAAAATTGAGTTTCAATTTTCTTTATTTTGTACCGTGCCACAGATCTTTCAGCCGCTTTAACATTTGCATGCCTCTTCTTTACTTACCTCTGTTTGTTATGTTTATGTTCTCGAATGGGAAAGGTTTGTAAAAAAAAATTATCAAGGATCCTGTTCTGTTTGCTTGGATGTTGTATCGTTCTCAGCCTGGGTCGGCCCTTATGGGCAGGGGCAAAGTAGCCCGATTGCTAAATTGTGTCGATGGGGGCGTAAAAAACCTACAATTGTAAAGCATTGTGGTGAAAACCAGGCGGTCATCAAAATTATGGAAGATAGGTGGGTAATATTTTCATTGAAAGCGAGACAAATAAACCAGCTTTATAATGATACCAATACTCCGTATGCCCAAAAATTGACGGCTGCCTGATTCCATTGCGTCGTCACACAATTACAATTTTTTCTACCCCCCTCTCCCACACTCCTCTACCACAGCCGGACCAACTGCTCGGACTGCATCACGGAGAAGGGGGAGTGCGCCTGGTGCGAGAACACGCGCACCTGCCTGCCGTTCTCTGACTACGTGACCCGCTACATCTACGGCCAGTGCACCTCGTGGGTGGACAGCGTGGGGCCGGACCACGGGTGTCACTCCTGCTCCAGCCACGCCTCCTGCGGCTCCTGCCTCATGGAGTTTGGCTGTGGCTGGTGCAGCAACGAGCACAACCCCAGTCTGGGCGTCTGTGTGGACGGGGATTTTACAGGTTGGTGATGTCTTTTTTCGTGTGGCGCTCTCCCCCTTCCCCCATTTTCAAAATGCTTGACCAAGTGTAGTCTTTATCCTACATTATCAAGGATTGGCACTGTGATTTTGTGTGTGTGTGTGTGTATGTGTGTGTGTGTGTGTGTGGGGGAGGGAAAGGGAGGTGGTGTATTTTTCTTTAACCAAAATATGTTTCAACAAGGCTGCTGTCAGCAGTGAGAAAATTCAGTTTGACCTTTAAAAATTATAGTTTATCGAAACGGTGTGATTGTATGGGTGAAATGAAAGATAGGAGAGTCTAATCTATATATGAAATGAAATCAAAGATGTGGAAGAGGGGAATGATTTTTCATGATGGCTTTTGCCTAATATAGTGTAAAGTATTTTTCTTTAACCAAAATATGTTTCAACAAGGCTGCTGTCAGTAGTGAGAAAATTCAGTTTGACCTTTAAAAATTATGGTATATCGAAACGGTGTGATTGTATGGGTGAAATGAAAGATAGGAGAGTCTATTCTATATATGAAATGAAATCAAAGATGTGGAAGAGGGGAATGATTTTTCATGATGGCTTTTGCCTAATATAGTGTAAAGTGCATAGAGCTTGCTTTTGAGTGGGGACATGCACTATACAAATGCTATTTATTATTTATTATTACTTTCACCTCCCCAGGAATGAGTGAAGGAACAATTCTTAATGAAGCTTTTGTCTACTTTCACAATCCTCAGGAATGAGCGGAAACTTGTCTTGCTCGGTGATGGTGGGTGAGATGTACAACCTGTCAAGCTCGGAGGCGTCGCTGTGGTCGTACGCCGAATGCCCCGACGTGGAGGAGTGCCTTCTGGGAATGCACGACTGCCACGAGAACGCCACCTGCATCAACGTCTACGGCTCGTTCCGCTGCGAGTGCAACCGAGGCTTCGAGGGGGACGGGAGGATGCGCTGTGATGAGACGTGAGTGGAGTCATTATTCAGTGTTTCTGCGTCCTTGAATCTAAGGAGTCCTTGAAATGTCCTTGAACTTGCATTCAAGGAAAAATCGTCCTGAATACTTCTTGAATGTGGGCGGATCGGGCATGAACCAAATTTTTTTTCTCGGAAAATAGAAACTACAATTCCTCTTAGACAAGTGTAGGCCTATCGCAAATGGGCTTTTAGGGTGTGAGTTCGCACAGCGGCTGAGCATGCCTGTATTATTGCTCTTGGTGCGCCGTCGAAAACAGCGTGATTTTCACGACCAAATCTTGAATTTTTAGAATTTCTCCTTGAAACCTCCTTGATAGGTCCTTGAATTTGGTGGGGAGGGGAGCCATTGCTGGAACTCTGATATGTTGATGGTAGTGTGTATACGGTTGGTGGTAGCATGTGCATTCTTCTTGATCTAGCCCGCTTGAGGACTGATATCTTTTGTACACTGGGCCGTTCTGCTTAGTTCCTCCATTTGCATGTACAGCCGCCCTCTCTCTTGAGGTGTTAATGGGGTTGGCCACGTTCCGTGTCTTGGGTTCATTTTGTATGGCTGTGATCGCTAGACAATCACTGAAAATAGCAAGAATACAGTAGAAGCAACGGAATAGTGGTTTTGTAGGAGACTGTTGAGAATTTCATAAAAGACTTTTGAGAGTTTTTCGTAACTATTTTATCCTTCAATAAATGTGAGTGTGCTGACAAAATGAGCTACACCTCACAATCTGCAAATGGAGATATTGGCTAAAAATCGACTTTAGGGTCAAATTTGTAGATTTTCCATTAATGAATTATTCTTTAACTATAGCCTGTCCTTCACTATTTCATACTTTTATAAATTGTAAAAACTTCACCTATAAGTGTGATGTATCTATTTCCTTAAGGCTTAAATCCGAAAAGTAACTCATTTTGTCTGCACGCTTCACAAATAGTAATAATAATAATAATAAGAGCATTTGTATCCCGCCTTTCCCCACAACATGGGCCCAAGGCGTACGAGATTAAAAACGCATTCATACTAACACCATACAAATTCATCATGTGCGCACATTTTGACAGCAACATTCTTTCAAACAATAAAAAATGCTCATACAAAGAGGCAAGATACTGTGCATTAATTAAAATATTTCTTAAATGGATGTGTTTTGAGTCCCCTTTTGAAGGTATAAAATTTTATTTCGGTCGTCAAATCATGAGAGAGAGTGTCCCAAACTGTTGGCCCAGAAAAAGAAAAAGCTCTCTCACCATATTTCTTCAGTGACACACGAGGTTTTGAAATTAGTCTAGAGTCACTGGATCTTAGTTCACGTGATGGTGTGTGTGGTACAATGAGTTCTTGAATGTATGTAGGAGACTGGTTAGTTTGACCTTTGAAGCATAGCAGGGCTAACTTATATTCGATTCTCTAAAAGGGAAATGGTTTTGATGTGTTTCTGCTTTCAGATGCTACTTTGACTGCCACAATGGGAAGTGCTCCGGTCCTCCGGGCTTCACGTGCATCTGCGACCTGGGCTGGACTAACGAGAGCTGCGACCTTGACTGCGGCTGCAACAACCACAGCAGCTGCGAGCGAGGGGTCGGGGAGTGCGACGAGTGCCAGCACCTCACCACAGGGCCGGCCTGCTCACAGTGTGTGTCCGGAGCTTACGGGAACCCTCTGGACCCCGATGGTGAATACTTGGATCAGATTTTATATGTTGTAGCTTTATTGTTTGTGTCATGACGCGGTGGAACAAGGCGCTCGTCAATTTTTGGGCTCTTGGAGTTATTGGTATAATCTTAAAGATTGTTCATTTGCCTTGCTTTCGCTGAAAGATTTGTATTTGTTCATTTGCCTTGCTTTTGCTGAAAGATTTATAATTGTGTCACGACACGGTGGAATCAGGCGCTCGTCAAAATAATGAAACGGAAGAAAACGGCATTTTTCTTCACCTGTGGCAATTTTTATCGAATTTTTAGTTTTTGGCTCAGTACTTTTTATGTCCGTTTAAAAACAATTGGCTGTGTGACTTTTACTTAAAAGTGTTGATTATAGACACCAAAACTGTAAGTTTACAGTTTCGAAGGACTCTCAAGCTTTGGAAGTCACCAAACTTTGGGGGCCATTTTCTCGCAAATTTTACCTTTGAAACTGAGCGACCCCCACTTGCTTCTTGACTTCTTGTCATGATAAACTGGTATTTCTTAAATTGAAAGGAAGAAAAATGAACAAGCTTTAAGATGATACCAATAACTCCACATGCCCAAAAATTGACAAGCGCCCGATTCCAACACATATGTTGTAGCTTCTGTGTTGTTGGGGAGTTGGGATGGGGGGAAAGAGGATGACATTCTGTGTTTGTCTCTGAACCACTTTTGCATTTCTTTTCTAGTGAGGTTAGTGTTTGCTTTTAAAAAAATTCAGTGGCACCTGCTCTGTTACCAATCATTGAAGACAGTGAAAATAAAATAGGAGCAACAGCTTTTGTGGCTTTGGTAGATCCTCCTTCTTTTCTTTCCTGTTCTTGTTTCTGTTTTATTGGTCTTACTTTTTCTCTTCAGTAAATGACAGTTACTGTGTCACTGTGCCTCTCCTTATTCCAGTTAACCTAAAGCAAAGACCAGAGATTTTTGTTACTCTCTTGTAACACCCCTAATCTTCGGCACTTATATGACCTTATTGTGTTGCAAGTGGCGTAAAACTCTTACTAAAACTTAAGCTTCACTGGAATAACTGCCCGCTGCTATTATAGTCATGATTGCGTCTTCTTTCCTATCAAACATCTATCGTCCTTATCTCCCCTCCTTCTTTTTTGTGTTTGTTGCTCTCTTGTAACACCTCTAAGCTTCGGCACTTATATGACATTATTGTGTTGCGAGTGCCGTAAGTAAGTAAGTAAGTATGTAAGTAAGTAAGTTTATTCAGTGTTTAAAGCCATTGGCCTACATCACAGCACATAAAACATTCATTTTTTAAAGTTTCCATAATGAATAAGTACAGGTTGTGCACATATCTCTTATCATGGGTCAAACATTGCATACGAGTCAGGCTGGGAGGGATCAACAATTAATTTCCTTTGATGGGCAAAGTGTGAACAATCAATAGAAAATAAAATGAAATTCATCTTCAATTTCATGAGAGTAAAACACTTATTAATGTTCCGACTGCAGTGACCCCAACACAGTGGACAACAACAACAACAACAACAAAAGCACTTACTAAAACTTACACCCCCCCCCCTCCCCCCTCTTCCGTCGCCCCCTTGTGTGTGTTCCCTTCAGGCTGCCTCCCGTGTAACTGTAATGGGCATGGGGCACGGGAGATGGGCGAGTGCCACAACGTGACCGGGGAGTGCTACTGCATCGACAACACGTATGGCATCCACTGTGAGCAGTGCCAGCCAGAGTACTACGGCAACCCCAGGTGAGGGCGGGCAGGCGCAGTTTTGTCCCTTGTTTTTGCCAAGGTTTTTTTCCTGTTTTGTTACGGTGTTCTGTTTCGTTACTTGTTTTCGCAAAAGTTTTTCCGGTTTTGTTACTTGTTATTGCGAAGGTTTTCCTCTTTTGTTACTTGTTATTGCAAAAGTTTTTCCTGTTTCGTTACTTGTTATTGCAAAGGTGTTCCTGTTTCGTTACTTGTTAATGCAAACTGTTTTGTTACCTGTTTTTGTAAGGGCTTTCTTGCAATGATTACATTTTTGTGTATCACAGAAAGTGCTGCCTTTTTTAACCATACTATACATTTTTTACTGTATCTAAAAAAAAAATATCTTGATGTATTGTAGTCTAGCTATTGTGCAATATTACAGATGGAATTGTAACAAAATCACAAAACTATGGTACGAATAAAAATTTTCATCAACTTTTTTTCTTATAACATTTATTCAAACAAAGTTCGCTAACGGCACATTCCAACAGTGGGTGGTTGGCGGGTGCTCTGGTGTGGTTTGCTCCTTCTTTACTATCCAACATCTATCATCCTTATCTCCCCTCCTCCTTTTTTGTGTTTGTTACTCTCTTGTAACACCTCTAATCTTCGGCACTTCTAAGACCTTATTGTGTTGTAAGTGCAGTAAAACTCTTACTAAAACTAAAAAAGTTGTTTTTGCAGGGGTTTTCCTCTTTGATTAACTTGTTTTTGCAGGGGTTTTCCTCTTTGATTAACTTGTTTTTGCAGGGGTTTTCCTCTTTGATTAACTTGTTTTTGTAGGGGTTTTCTTCGATGGTTACATGCCTTTGTTGCGCCTAAATTGCTGCTTTTTACTTCTTTTGACACAAAACAATTTTTTTTTACTGTATTAACACACA